GAGACCATCCTTTCCTCATGAAACTGCCTTGGCACTTTTGTTGAAAATCAACTGACCATAAATGTATGGGTTTATTTTTGGACTCTGATTTGTCTTCCATGATCTCTATGTCTATCCTTAAGTCAGTCCCGTGCTGTCTTAGTCATTATAGCTTTATCTTAAGTTCTGAAATCAGGATATGTAAGTTCTTCTACTTTCTTTCCTTTTTTCAAGATTATTTTGGCTATTCTGGTTCCTCTGTATTTTCATATGCATTTTAAGATTAGCTTGTCAATTTTTCATTCAAAAATGTCTGCTTTCAATTGAGATTACACTGAATCTTCTAAAACATGAACATGGATTATTCTCTCCATTTATTTACATCTTCTTTAATTTCTCCCAGCAATGTTCTGTATTTTTCAGTGTACATTTAAGTCTTGCATATGTTTTGTTAACCTTACTCCTACATACTTATTTTTCTTAATACTAATATGAACAGAACTTTTTTCTTACTTTTATTTTTCAAATTGTTCAGTGGTAGTACACAGACATATAACTGATATCTGTATATTGATTGACCTTGTATCCTGATACCTTGCTAAATTCCTTTATTAGTTCTATACTAGGAGTCTTTAGGAATATTCAGGATCATGTCATCTGTGAATAAGACAGTTTTACTTCCCTTCTTTCCAATCTGAATGGCTCATATTTCTTTTTCCTGCCTATTGAATGGAAATGACATTCCCATGCTGTCGAACCTTTAGGTTGTTTCCAAATTTTCACTATTATAATAAATGCTTTAATTAATAGCCTCAAAAATACATTGTAGGGTAAATTCCTAAAGCAAGATTGCTAGGTCAAAGGATTAATATAAAGAACGTTCAAATGTATAGGTTTTTAAGTGGCAAAGAAACAATGTGAAGGCTCACATAGTCTTTTTTTTTAAATGATGATATAGGAGCTAAGAGTAAAAGCACTAAGGTTCAGGTTAGATTCTTGAAATTTTGGAAAAACTCATGTAGAACTTATATGTGAAAGGTCTGCCAAGCAGCAGTGAGGATCCAGTTATAATAATAAGAAATTATATTTATATATATATATATATTTTAAGTTGGCCTTGCTAACTTGGAGTAGAGAAAAAAAAAATTAGAAAAATTAGGATATCTGTATTAGGGTTTGATAAGTTTGAACTAGAAAGAGGTTAAGAGAATAAGGAAAGGAGAGTAATAGTGAGAATCACAATGGTTGGTATGTTGGCTGGGAAAATTAGATGAGAAAGGTTAGTTGACAGAGAGAACACAAGGGGTTAGAAGGTGAAATGAAGTAGATAAGCAGGTTTGGTAGGAAGAATAGGGGTGGGCAGTGTTGAAGGAGGTTGTAGTCAGAGGGAAAGGAAAATTCCAGTTTCAGGTAACTGCACAGCCAAGGGACTGAACAGACTGTGAAGCTGTCTAAGTCGTCAATGAGGCTCCCAGAGTCCCCCAGGGTAATGGCAAAATGGTGGAAGGAGGGTTAACTTTGAAATAAGTGTTGCTCCTTTCATGTAGAATTAATATCCAACTTACCTATCTCAACTGTAAAAAATCACTGATTTAGAAAGTGTCATATGAAGAGGTCATGAGAAACATTCTACAATGGGTTTATTATTAACAGAGATAAATAAACACATGTGCATGCTTTTGACCTAATAAAACTAAAACGTTCAAATATAACTTTTACAAAAAAGTAGACAAGTAAATCTTGTCCCCACCATTTATAATGTATTTGCTACAAAATCTAGGTAACAATTCAAAATGTATATATCAATCTTATGGCCTCTTCAGCAATTTTCTATTTTCATACATAGGTGTAATCACCTTAAAGTAAATCTCCCCCTTTTTTTTTTACTGATACTATTAGAAATAAGGGAGTTCTGGTAGTGCAGTACCTAAAAGCACTTGACTGTGAACCAGAAGGTTGGTGGTTCAAACCCACCAGCCACTCCTCAGAATGAAGGTTGGGCAATCTACTTCTGTAGTGATACTGCCTCGGAAACCCAAGGAGGGGTCGCTATGAGTTGGGGCTGACTCAACGGCACATAACAACAACATTAGAGATAAGTTATATTTCCTGGGTTACTGAAACGTTTTTACCTTGAGTTGTGAGCTGCCCTTCCTGAGCCTGTACACAACGAAGCTCTTCAATGGTTTCCTTCAGAGAATCCCTTTCTGTTCTTAACCTCTGAAAGGACACAAAACCATGAAAGGTTAGCGTCAAGCCTTACAATTGTGCTCATCATTGGTTTTACCCTTAACTAACAGAATGATAAATAGTAGTGAACTTACTTTATCTCTTGATTTTCTATGAAATGATTAAAATAATTTTTTTTCATTTAGCAATACTGAATATCTACTACATCAAGGCAATAAGCTATTCACAGTTAAATATTGTCTATTCCTTCTCAACAGTAAGTACCTCATTTCTTAAATAACATTATTTTCATTAAACATAAAAGATCAAAGAACAAAGATTTTAAATATTCATAAATTATGACAAAGTCAAAATATTTTTAAAAGATTCAAAATATGCTAAACAATGAGAATCGCATCCTCTAATAAATCATATGGAAAACATGAAAGCTATGTAAACTTAATGTCGTGAGCAGAACAATGTTAAACACAACAGAAGTGGAAAAGATAAATATATATTAAGAAAATTAGGATGGAAATAAGTACATTCATTCTATCTTTTGTTTAAGGTCTATTTCTGAAATACATAAGGATATCTTCTATAATTTAAAAATAAGCAGGATCTCTACTTTTTATTCACAAATGGAAGGAATTAATGAAGTAGTCAAAACATGAATTAAAGATCATTGTCCCCATTTAGCAGTGCTGAAAACCAAAATGCCCGATATATACTTACATCCTTTTCTTTTTGAAGACCGTCTACTTTTTCTTTCAGTCGCTTATATTCAAAATCCAATTTATCTGCTTTCTTTGACTCTTCAGATAATCTATTTTGCAGTTCTACTACCTGATGTAGAAAAATAACATTAGTTTTTAAAATTTGAAACATTAGAAATGATCACTATTTTCTTCTACATATCTATGAACCATTCCCCAAAATATTCCAATAAATGTATATGTTACAGCAGCCTAACAAAGTGGAGAACTAGGAATAAAAATCTTCCAACAAAGAATGGGTTCCAAAACCAGAATCATGCAATAACAACTCAAAATTATAAAGAATCTATAAGTTTTATTTCTGCAATACAGGTAACTGGGTAGATTGAAAACTCTCTTGCTCTAAAATGAAAGAAACGCTAGGGGAAAAAAGTCCAATTGCATAGCTAAGTTTATAAGACAGTAAGGGAAATCCTCAAGGGCCATAACCAGATTAGAACATTGGTGCAGAAGCCACCGGTATGTGAGTTGTTATTGCCAATACCAGGAACTGAAGAGCTTTAGGTTTAACAGGAGACAGGTGGGTGTTAAGCTACATTGTGATCTCAAAGGTGTTAAGTCAGTAAAAAACAGGTTGGAGGGAGGTGGGAAAGAGGGAGGGAGGAACGAAGTCAGTTCTCTAGCTGGCAAAGACAATAAGAAAACTTACCTGGCTAAAACTGAACTCTTGGTTTTAAAAAGTATTCCCTGAAATTTGAAACCATAACATGCTAATATGTGGACTTGTGTTTGAATTTTTACTACTTGCCTTATCTGGGAAACCCTGAACCAAGCAATTAAAGTACAGCGGTCCTGGTTGGTAATGCAGTGGAAAATCTGGCACAAGCAAACACGCCCTGTCTGGAGGAACACAACTTCAACTCAGGCCCCTCAGGATTCCCAAAGATAAAGATGAGCCAAATGAAAAAGCAAAATCCAGAATTACAGAGGCCATAAAAAATAAGCCACTATGAACAAGTCAACAGAAAATAGTAACAGCTGGGGCAACAACAGCAACAAAATAGCACAATAAGATTCCCAAAGATTTCAGATGGGACCATCAGACTCAAAAAAAGATATAGTAGGTTTAATCTTAAGACAATTAAACAAAGCACTACAGAAGACCAAGCAGAAGGTCTCATACTCCCATCTCAAAACTCAGTATATACCCATGGTAGTCAAAATAGCTTGGCACTGGTACAATGACAGACACACAGACCATTGGCACAGAACTGAAAATCCAGAGGCAGATCCATCCACCTATGAAGCTGATCTTTGACAAAACGGCTGAAAGCCATTAAGTTGGGAAGAGAGAATCTCTTTCACGAAAGGTGCTGGCAAAAAGGGATATTCATTTGTAGAAAAATGAAACAAGATCCATATCTCACACCATACCCTAAACTAATATACAAAAACTAACTCCAGATGGACATAAGACCTAAATGTAAAGCCTGAAACTATAAAGTTCATCAAAGAAAAAATAGGAGCAAATGTAGGGACCCTAATTTATGGCATAGACACTATCAGACATAACCAAAAATGCACAAACAACAGAACATGAACTAGATAACTGGGGCCTTCTAAAAATTAAATTCTTATGTATATCAAAAGACTTCTCCAAAAGAGTAAAAAGAGAACCTACAAATTGGGAAAAAATATTTGGGCAACAAAATATCTGACAAGGGACTAATCTCTAAAGTTTGTAGAAGTCTTCAATACCTCAACACCAAAAGCACAAACAATCAAAGTAAAAAATGGGCAGAGGGCATGAACAGACATTTCACCATAAAAGATATTCAGGCAGCCAACAAATACATGAAGAAATGCTCATGATTGTTAGCCATTAGAAAGCTGCAAATCAAAACAACAATGAGATACCATCTCATCCCAGGACTAAGAGCAAAGTTCAACAAGACAGAAAACAACAAATGCTGGTGAGGGTGTGGAGTGCTTGGAACTCTCATACACTGTTGGTGGGAATGCAAAGTGGTACAACCACTGTGGAAAATGGTATGGCGCCTCCTTGAAAAGGTAGAAATAGAAATACCATTTGATTCAGCAATCCCACTATTAGGTAATATATCCTAAAGAAGTGAGAGCTGGGACACAAAAGATATATGTACACCCATGTTCATTACAGTACTATTCACAATAAAAAAGAGATGGAAATAACCTAAGTGCAAATTAACTCATGAATGGATAAACAAATTGTGTATAAGGTACATATACACAATGGAACACTGTGCAACATTAAAGAATAATGAAGACTCTGTGAAACACCTCATAATGTGGATGAACTTGGAGGACATTATGTTGAGTGAAATAAGTCAATCACAAAAGGACAAATATTATATTAGTCCACTACTATAAAAAGTCAAGGAAAGATCTACATATGGAAGGAAAATTTCTTTGTTGGTTACCGGGGAATGGAAGGGAGGGAAGGGGAAATTGCTAGCTAGGTAACAGATACATATTGATTTGGGTGAAGAGAAAGACAATATACCAAAATCAGGGACCAGCACAATATCACGAAGGAAAAGGAAGACATGGAGAGGTGCACAAGAGGTACAGATAATAAAGATAAACACTATTAGAAACACAATTCTTTATTATCAGTAATAACAAACATTTATCTATGGAAAACATGGAAAAAGAAAAGATGGGTGTGATAGTTGGAGTTGTGTGTCAACTTGGCTGGACCCCAGTTCTGTGTGGTTGTTCCCATGATGGGATCAGATGACTGTGT